TCTGTCAGGCACCAACCTCTCAAGCACAACTAAGAACCCACCATTTATTACACGATTTGACTCAATGGATGGGTGCTTGCAGTGAAGAGATGGGTTTAGAAAGTAACCGGCTTAATGGAGGTGCCTGTGAAGCTAGGTATTTCATCTCCTATCAATAATTTCAAGTATAGCCTTACGCATAGTTTCATCATCCTTTAAAACATCATTTATTTCAGCTCTTGCCCTAGTCATTGCCTCATGTATGTAGCCCATGGCGGGCTTCGCATCTCCATCAACCAGTCAGAGCACTCTCACTAAAGGGCGAGACACCTCCAATGCAAAAATTATTTGACTCCAAAAAGATGTATTTAGAATAATTTTTTCAGCCTTTCTCCCATCCTTATGCTTTGACCATTTGCTTTGACTCCATTGCTGTAAAGCAAACATAGTCCTCAAGGCACTTTTTTGCTTGGCTAGGCTTCGAAGAGTGAGAAATGACGTAGCAAATCTAGTGATACCCGGTCTTACTAATTCTCTCTTCTTTGTAAAAGACCTCATTATGCTTAGGACTATGGTGTGATTGTAAATAAATCGAACAACAAACATAGCTCTTGAAACACCCCACTAAATAAAGATGTTGTACCCGTTTCCTTAAGCATAAGATTAACACAGTGAGTTGCGCAAGGAGTCCAAAACATATGCGTCATTTTCAAAGTCAATAAATGCCCAGCTGCAGCGTAATTGGCACCATTGTCAGTGACAATTTGTACCACATTTTGCCCTCCAACAAACTCGACAATCTCGTCCATAAAAGCACATAAGTATGTAGCATCATGTGACTTGTCTGATGCATCAACAAACTTAACAAAAAAAGTACCTGTTGGGCAGTTAACCAAAAAATTAATGAATGACCTTGATTTCCCATCGGATAACCATCACACATAACAGTGGCCTCATATTTCTCCCACCCTTCTCTCTGAGAAATCAAAATTTTATTCACATTAAATACAACATCCTTCAACAAGGGCTCATTAACCTCATGTAGTGAATGAGGAACAAGTCCTGGGCCATATTACCCAATTGCCTGGACCATACATGCAAAACTATTTAGAGTTATAGTATTAAAAGGAATGCCGGCCATGTAAATCTACTTTGCAATCCACTTACATACCGACTTTCTCTGCTCTTTCTTATATCTATTTTCAGTTGTGGTTTGTTTTGTTTTTTTCTTTCTCTCCTAAACCACAATTTCTAGTTAGGGGTGAAAAAAACATCCATTGGCCCCTTGGAGAGAGGTGTTCTTCAGTCAACACTACCACCAATATTTATAACCCTCTCTCTTGATGTTGGAGTATGAGTAATCATCATCATCATCATCAACATCATCATTAAATAATAGCATATCATAAAGTAATTTTTTTCTTTTCATTTTTTTTTTCTCTTTATCTTTTTTCAATCTATCAAAATATTCTCTAGTCTCCTTTTTTATATAATCTGTAGCTTGTGAGCATGCTCTTACATTCCTAGAAATTCCAGCTAAATGCTTTTTTTGTCGAAAAATACCACCCATATAAGTATTTCCTTAGAGCAAGCATATCACACAATTTCTATCTTTGGGATTTTTTAGTTTAGCATATTTCCAAGTCGGATCCTTATTGCTAGAAGATTGGGAAGAAGACATTGCCCCAAAAATATGTATAATAGTAATATTGTACAAGAAGGAAAAAAAATTTACCGACTCTGTGAATCATTGCTCGATTTCTTATCACAAATTCACCCTAACATCTCCAAATCAACAATCAAAGGCATCCAATGAACATCAAGTATCAAACAACCTCCAAATCGAAGATTTCGATTAAAAAACATTTCTGCGTAAATTGTTTTTTCCCTCGATTTGATGCAAAAAAAGCCACAAAAGTGGTCGAAAATCTTTGTTTAAGGCCCCTAATATCCCCCCCAAACAGTTTCCTTAACATTTGGATGGTCAAAAAGACCATTTTGCCCTCCCCAAGGGGCAAAACAAATTTTTTTTTGGCGGACATTGCAGCGGTGGGATGCGGCTATGATGTGGCCTGATGCGGTGCATATGTGGCCGCCTCTGTCAAAAGCGCATTTGCGCCTGCTTCTGATGCGGATGCGAGTGCATCCCGCATGATGCGGCGATGCGGTCGCATTTTAAAAGCATGGTGGACCCCAAGAATCAGAATCGAAGGGGAACAAGAAGTTCAATTATCCAGAAATTCATCATCCCATCATTTCTTCTAAATCAAAATCCCATTCGATTGGAGAACTAGACCCCAAGAAAAAGGTCTAAAGTCAAAGATGACTACACTGGCAGCTTCCCAGGTAGCAATGGAGTGACTACAACAAGGAGTGTCACCGGCTCAAAGATAACACGGTTCCTGTTGACTCAAAGATAGCAGTGCCAGTTCTATGTCTTACGGATCAAAAACATCCATTGGCATATCGCCCACCCAAAGGGTGCTGGTTATTCAAAAGAATGATCCCTTGAAAAACATTTTCATTCCCACCGTGTTTCAGGTGTCTACTTCTTTGGCATTCACCGGGTGCCCCAAGTGAATGCCAAAGAGGGGCAACTGTAGACACCCTCTCGAAATCATGGCTAAGGGAACTCCTAAAAACCTCGATTATGAGCCCGAAGGACCACAAAAACCCTAGCAGATCATAGACAATCTAGACCCAACACAATTGTCCTAAAAGTGCCCAAAACCTATCCCAACTTGAAGTAGAGCCCGAGAGCTTTCCAATGGTTCAAGAATCGCCTGAATTGGTTTTACGGATAAAAAGATTTAACAAATGGTAATTTAGTGCCTATGAGACCCAAGTATCAAGCCACGGGCGGGGTTGTGATGAGACCCGGTAAGCCCAGACACGACCCGATGACGCAGTAAACACGTTTTCTTTAATTAGATAAGGCTAAAACTTCAAGATAATTCCAAAAACTCCAAAAAGTTCCTAAAAAATCAAGAAAAAATCACTAATTACGTCCTATAAATTCCCCCTCCATAATAATAAAAAAAAGGTGATCAAGAAATCCCTTAGAAATTCCCGAAAAATAGCCTAAAATACCCAAAAAATAGGAAAAACCCTTGGAAAATCCCAACAAAGCACAAAAAATCCCAGAATTCATGTTCAACCTTTGGAAATCCTAAAACCTTTAGAAAACTAAGGAATTTCTTCTCCAATCTCAATAAATCCCAAGAAATGCCTAGGTAGACCCTACCTAATATTCGCAGCTTTTCCCTATGCCTTAAGAACCCCCTAGATCTAGTTCAAAGAACCTTAGATCTACCAATTCCCGCAAGTAAAGGCATCCAAAAAAGGAGATGGTGTAAATCGGAAGAGTTGTTTGATCCAAGACTGAAACTTCAGGTTTCGGGTCCCTAAAGGTAAGTATATGTTTTTTTGCTTAATTTATTTTTTTTTTCTTCATTTAGTTCTCTATTTTATTTATTTATTTTGGAATTTAATGTATTATTAGATTTAATTAAATTTAAAAGCCTTTTTTAGGTCAAAATATGGATTTGGAGCTGACACTGCCAGTGGACTTAAAAAAAGACCGGATTTGTATAGATTTGGGATTTTTTTTGACCCATAATTCAAGCGACCCCACTCTCTCTACCTTTTAAAAAATAACGCAATTTTTGCTAAAATTTGAGCAAATCTCATCCCAAAGATCGGTGTAGATCGGAGCGTAAACATAGCTAATCTTCACCGTTTGGGTACGCAAAAGATAGGCTTGAAATGAAACGAATTACAGTGAAAATCATGAAATGCATTTTCCACATAAATGGATGAGAATGGATTACAAGGAGTGACGGGTAATCAATTCCATGTCGGAGCTGTATGCATCTATTAAATCCATTGAAGTCATTTGAAGTTTGTTTAAAAGACGTTACATTCTTGTAAAGGTAGGTCCATTCTTGCAAATGGTCCATTCTTACATATTCCAAGATATTATATTTTTTATTTTTTTTCTTACAAGTCATTTTTTTTAGTGTTTTTCTTACACGTCATTTGAAGTCCTATGTTTTTTCAAAGCCATTCTTGCATATTTCAAGAAATATGAAATGCAATTTTAATAGAAGCTAATATCTTTTATTTATTTTTTCTGCTGGTAGCAATGTTGTCAAATTCACTTTGCTTCGGCCGAAGAGGCTGAAGCCTTTGGATTTTAGGCCTAGATAGAAGCGAAGTGACGCCTGGTGCTGTCGCTTCGTACAAATTCGGGCTGTTTTGGTTAGATTCGATCTGATTCGACCGAAGCAAAGAAATATCTATATAAAAGTTTTTTTTGGAAATGTTTATTTTTAATTTTTATATTATTTTTATTTTTTTATATATAAATATCTATTTTATTTATATTAAATTTAAGAAAATTCTGAAGTTTTCCCCCCAATCATTCGAAGCACCGAATTGCTTCATTTTTCTCACCAAACAAAAGAAGACTCTGAAGCGAATCTGACAACATTGGTTGTTAGGAGTTGGTTTTGCTAATTATAATAACGAATAATTTATGAATCGTTATGCCACATTGATATCTTCTAAGCTTAAGAAATTTAGATTTAGTCGTCAAATCAATATTTGAGCAATATTTGAGCAATAAAAATAAAAAGATAGTAATGCATTTCCCGGATTTCTTCTAGATGTAGCCAAACAATAGGAATGTATTTCCCAGATTGCGTCTAGATGCTACTCAAACAACAACAATCTATTTCCAAATAATATGTTGCGGCGGTAATGTATTACGACAGTAATGTATTTCACAGACAATACATTTTCAAGCACCCAAACGGCCCCTAAACGTAAATCCTAAAACCTTAAAAAATACATCCATAAAATTCAATAAGAAAAAAATTAAAAAATCAGAAGCATCTTGTCCTGCATCAATTATGTATATGTTCCCCTCATTTTGGGGTGTAACCATTGTGTTTATCCTTCTTTTCATCTTTGTGTTCATGTAGTTCCCTCTAACTAGCCTATTATTTATATGTTTAAAGGTTGATCTGGATCTTGGAAATTATGAACGTTTCTTGGATGTAACACTTACTCGAGATAACAACATTACCACAGGAAAGATCTATCAGGTGCTGGCATTTTCATTCATACATATGCTATATGGCTAATTATTCTAAAGTGAATAATAGATATTTCTTATGAAAGTGTCTTTCTTGCTAACATGTATGATTTTACTGCCTTTAGTCTGTTATCGACAAAGAGAGGAAGGGTGATTATCTTGGAAAGACTGTTCAGGTGAAGTGGACCCACCATATTACCTTACATAGAAGTTTTTGCTAACTGCCCATGAAGAAATAACAATTGCTATTACTATTTCAAATATACACAAAAAAGGGGAGAGAATCTTATGAGTACTTTCTGTGGCATCCAGGTAGTTCCACACATCACAGATGCCATAAAGGATTGGATTCAATCAGTTTCCATTATTCCTGTTGATGGCAAAGATGGTCCAGCCGATGTTTGTGTTATTGAGTTGGGAGGAACTGTAGGTAAAGGCTAGAAAATTTTTAACTTGTTGCCCAATATTTTGTTTGAACTTTCAACGACTATACTATTTAAGGTATATTGTATGATTCTTCAACTGCTCATAACACTAAGACCTTTATACTCTCAGGTGACATTGAATCCATGCCATTTATTGAGGCCTTGCGGCAGTTATCATATTCTGTAGGTGAGCCTGTACTCTTTCTGATAATATCACTATGAAGTGTTAGCTTTTTACTACACCTATAAACAAAAAAAAGAGTTAACCTTTTACTACTTTCTCAGGAAATCTTCTCCTTATGCACACTTTCTACCTTCTCTTTTTTTACAAAAAACAAAAAGAAAAAGAAAAGTTTACTGTTTCCACTATTGAGCAAAAATGTTCAACTTAGCCATTGTCAAGATATCCAACTTCTCAGTTGGTATGTTTGTACAAAAATGTCAGCAAAAATGTCGAAATTTTCTGCCTAGGTCACTTTTCGGTGCTGTTTGTTTTTCAAAATGAAATGAATATATTCTATGGCTATTGGCTGATCAACCTGAGGTTTTATATAAATTGTGTGTGTTTAAATCTTCAAATCAGAAAGTGCATCTGTATTATAATGTTATTGAACAGTGGCATGATTGGCCATATTAAATGTTCGATAATAGAGGTTAGTTACTCTTTATTTTCAGGTCAAGACAACTTTTGCATCATTCATGTGAGCCTTGTACCTGTTCTGGGTGTCGTTGGTGAACAAGTAACTATTTTATCTTCAATCTTTTTTTATTTTTCTTTTTTTCTATTTTTTATTTGTTTTTAGTTTTCTACAATACCGTCAGAGAATTACTAAGCACGTGTGATGCTTTACAGTCCCTAGCCATTCAAGAGAATCAAGACTCTTATACTATAATCTTTATTGTGCCACTTGCTTGTAGAAAACAAAGCCCACACAACATAGTGTCAGAGAATTACGGGCATTGGGCTTGACTCCCCATCTGCTAGCATGCCGCTCTGCAAAGGTAACTTAGTTTTGCCGAAACAGATTTGGTGCTTTGACTTCTAATGAATAGTTTTTTCTCAATAAAATTGTTAAATGGATAGAGTTTCTATGAGTCGGCGGACTCATATGTACATATCACCCCCCCCCCCCCCTTCTAAAATCCACTTTAAAGATGGATTTTTTATCTATTTTTTTTGTAGATTCATAATCTAGGCAAAGATGATAACAAATGTGAAAAGAAAATTAGACTTTTAAATTGAAAAATATATTTTTGGTAGTTTTATGTGCATCGTGCATATTTATTTATGGACTATACACTTTACATAACCTCCATCTTTAGAATGGACATTTGTAAGTCAGCGCACTCTTGCACCCACTAACTCATGGAACACTTTTCCGTACTAAATACATGTGTTCTTTTTCTTTCTCTTCCTCTTCTTTCTTGCCAAGCTACAACATCAGAAGTTTACCAAACTTTCAGCGATAATTGGGCCCAGAGCCTAACTCCTGATTCAACTAATTAAGTTTGGGCCCCAAGGGAAACAAGTAACACAAATTACTTTTATCCATCATCGTAGCCTACCCCTGACATTGTACCATTTGCTGGTTATTGTGTTTCTGTATTCATCAATAAAAGTCCGTGATTGAAAAATGCATATTCTTTGATCCACTCTTACTTTTTTGGAAGATTGCAGTAACCTCGTCTATGTTCCATCAAAAAAAAAAGAAACAAGCCATGATGTAGTTTTTATACACAATCTATGTGACCCCCGCAAGAATAATTATTGTTTGAAGATTTTGGTTCTATGTTCTTCGCTTCTTTGTCTTCATTTTTTTATTGGCTTCGTTGGTCAAAAAGTTTTCCCTCCCAAGCATGTCAATTGGCTATTGTCTGTTTTTGTAAATCATTTATTGCTTTTAGTCATGTTAAGGTACTTGTTATATGTATGAGTTCCTCATTAACCTATTTTTATTTGTTTCCTGTTGTATAATATCTTGTTGTGATGTTGGTTTGGTTTTACTGTATTTCAAGTCTTAAATGTCTTCTGAGATTGCTTTTTCAATACTAGCATATTATTCATCCGCTTGCATTTTGGATATGCTATTGCCTGAATTTGGCAATTTGATGAGAATCACTTATGTTTATTTCATGGTTGCTATTTCAGCCGTTGCTGCAAAGTACGAAGGAAAAACTTTCACTGTTTTGTCATGTTCCTGTAGGTGTCTCTACTGGGATTGCTGCATGTTAGACGTCTCTCTCTCTCTCTCTCTCTCTCTCTCTCTCTTGTTTTCCTGTATTACATTTAGGTACTCAGATTGCAAATTTTGTTTCTTTTAATAGGCTGGCAACATTCTTAATATCCATGATGTTCCAAACATTTGGCATGTCCCTCTTCTACTCCAGGTGAGTGCAATGGCACATTAAACCTAAGTTTTTCTTACTTTTGTGTATGAATGGCAGGTTTGCTTTAACTGAATTCTACTGATTACGTTTCCAGAGTCAAAATGCTCATGAGGCCATCTTGAAACAATTGAATTTTCAAATGTGAGTTTCTATATATTCATTACTTTCTGGAATATGAATAATTATTTTGGAGCTTAAAAATTATAAATGAGATTCTGCTGCAGCATTTCGAGACCCCCTTGTTTGCAGGAGTGGACTGAGAGGGCAGAAACCTATGATAATCTCACTGACACAGTTAGTACTATCTGGCATTTGTTTGTTCTTTAAGATGTTCTTTCCTAGTACCTATGCAGAGAAGTAATGGAGGTGCTCTTCTTGTAGGTAAAAATTGCCATGGTTGGAAAGTATACCGGCCTAGCGGATTCCTACTTATCTGTAACCAAGGTATTTTTTGTGTACTGCGATTCAGACTATGTAAGGTATATGGCTATGTGCTGAATATGATGAGACACTGCCTGAGCTGCAGTAATCGGCATTGATGATCCTATATTTGGATTTGAACTTTTCAGAATGAATATGCTTCTGGTCAATCTGATTGCCATGAAAATCATTAACCTGAATAACTTTTATCTTTTTGTTTCTTTTTAATCAAAATTTTCACTCATGAAGTTGAAATTCATTTTATCTTTCAAAAAGTGACCTGCATCCTTGAAAAAAATTGACCATGTGCAAATCTATCAAAACACTTCTGTGATTCTTCTAGGCTTCTGCCTGAGTTTCTATGTTTTTGTGGTACTGGAATGTCAAACACACTGGTTGCCATTTCATCATTATTATCACTAGAGCCTTTTCTCTACTATTTGGGGTTGGCTACACAAATATTACTCTGCCATTTTGCTCTATTAAGGGTCATACCCTCACTGAGGCTGTAAGTCCCCAAATCTTTTCTCACTACTTTCAACCATGTTCTTTTGGGCCTAACCCTTGCCCTTTTTGAGCCTACTACTGGAACCAATCCACACCTCTTAACAGGTGTTGTATTGGGATCGCGCTGCCCATGGCCAGCCCACCTAAGTCTAGTTTCTCTCATCTTATCGCGTATTGGAGCCACACTTAAGTTCTCCCGAATGTATCTTTTTTTATACTTTTGACATTGCATTGAAAGAGATAAAGGTTACATAGTTCCTCGAGGGGCAAAATAAGCACCGAGAGAGGTGACCACTGAAGAGAACATTAATTGCACCCTATAACTATAACAAGAAAGGAAGCAGTCTACTAAAAAAGATAAAAGGCACAACAATGCTAGGTAAAACTGGTAAATGTTTTTGCAAGGTGGCTCCTTAGCTAGGTCGTCTGCCACCTAGTTGCCCTGCCTCCAGATATGAGTCCAAGAGACTTGCATATGCCTACAAATATCATGAATGTAAAAATTTGCCAAAGTCTCCAATGGGGGGGGGGGATTGCTAGGAAGCCCATCCAATGACATTCTTGGAGTCCCCTTCTTTGGAAAGCAAAGGACCCCAAGAATGGTTGTAGAGGGCGCTAGCTTCGGCCTCCGTGGAGTCTGTGACACTGATGGAGGAGGAGTAGGAGATGAGTGTGATGTTGGTCTCGGGTTGCCCAAAGAGGACCCATCGAAATTGAGTTTGATCCTTCCCTCTTCGGGACATCTCCATAGAGCGCAGAGCAAGGGATCTTTAGAGGCCTATGTTGGAGAATGTTGGTCCAGTTAAGGATTAAATTTGAGGTCAAGAGGTGCCTGAACCGGCTATGGTTGGTGGCCCAATAGTTCTCTCGAATATATTCATTTCGAATTCTAACTCTTCTTGTCTTGCTATTCATCCATCTTAATATCGTCATCTCAGCTACACTCATTCTATGGGTATGTTGTTTTTTGACCAACATTCCGCCCCATAAAGCAAAGCTAGTCTCACAGTTGTCTTGTAGAACTTCCCCTTCAGCTTGATTGGTATGTGGCAATCACATAAAACTTCAATTGCACATTCCACTTTACCCACCCAACTCTAATTTTATGTGTGACATCTTCCTCAATCTCTCTATTTTCTTGGATTATCAACTCATTGGTTGCTATTTGCTTTAGGATAATATAATATCCACATCGTGAGGATGCTGGAAAGACGCACAAGCACCTTCAAAGGTTTAGATTAGAAGGATAAAACATGATGGTCACGATTTAATGGATAATATTTTAATTTGAAAGTTTTTCTACTTATTTTCTACTTATTGGATTAACATGAAATTTTGAAGGTGTTTGTACCACACTAGGCACTGAGCCACTCCTAATAAAAAAATGTAAGGATTTCATACTCGTGCAGGAGCATGCTATCCATTTGCTCCCGTAAGCAAAGCTCAAGCTCCGATTGTCAATATTTTAAAACCTGGTGATCTTTGCTTCGGATCGCTTGTCCGGATGGGAATCCGTTGGGACCG